TCTTCCGTCTCGCCAGCTCGAAAGGTCTCCTGCGCGCCCCGCAGGGCTCAGAGGTTGCACCGCAGTCTGGCGCGGGGGAGTGGCAGCGTCGGCGCTGTCGCCCGGCACTCCTGAACCCGTCATATCGACGGTGGACTGAGGGTGCCGTTTTCTGCTCCGCCCACACCAGGGGGGGCGGCGGTTTTCGCCCTTGGAGTGACCCTGGCGACGCTTGTCTCGTCCGTTCGCAGGGGGGGGGGGCTGTCTGGATCCTCGGGCTGGCTGCAAGGAGAGAGGGGGGGGGGGGGGGGGGCGGAAAACGACTGGGATCCCCCTGCTGCCAGAGGCGCATTCCGTAGCGGAAGCGCCCCGGCGCACGGAGGGCACGCTGCCGCCTGAAAGGGGGGATCACAAGGGTCGTCCTCGGGATCACAAAACGCCACCATTCTGCGTTGACCGTCTCCTCCGTCAAGGAGGCGGCACGCGGTGGCCGCGGCCTGTCGGGGCGAGCCGGGCACCCCAGAACTGCTCTCGGCAATATGGGCAAGGATGGCAAGGGGGGCGGCGGCGCCCCCCGTCTGCGACGTCGCCCGCTCCCAGCCCCCCCCGAATTCGGGGGGGGGCGGGGTGGGGAGCCAGGACCAGGGCGGGGCGACCCAGGCACCCTGGGGCCCTCGGCGAAATGGGCGCCAGCATGGGCGCCACTTCGGCGGGCCATGCGCGCCCAGCCCCCGCTCAACCACGCGCGGCGGAGAGCCTGCGTAGAGCGACCTGTGGGCGATCTCGGCCGCCAGCGTCTTCTGCCCCTCCCCATCCTCTCGAACCTGGAGGCCGAAGTCGCCCGCCGCGGCAACGTAGCCGGTGGACTGGCCCTGAACGAACACGCCGATGATCGCGATCATGGCCAGACGAACGCAGGCGATCTCAACGGCAAAATGATCATGCTCTTCCCTGGCGTCGAAGGGCGGCAGCGCCCGGAGGCTGGGCCCGCCCGCCATGGCGACGTAGCCCGCGGACTGGCCCCAGGGCAGCTGGAGGAGCGCGCGCGCCGGGAAGCGCGCCCAGCCCGCTGCGAGCACCTTGGAGGCCGCACCAAGGCCGTTCGGGGCGCCCGCGAACTTGCTGTCAGCGGGCGGCGACAGGCGCCCCGGCAGCACGCCGGTGCTCTGTGGGGGGGCGCAGCCCACCAGCATAGACATGCGACGGCGCTGCAGCTCGTTCTGGCGCCAGCGGGCGAAGTTTTCCGCGCCGCAATTCCCCGCGCGGCCAGCGGGGGCCCTGTCGGTCGCCAGCTGCTTCTGCTCATCCCCGGCGTCGCTGGACGTCAGCGCCTCGAAGCCGAAGTCGCCGGCGGCTGCAGGGGGCGGGTCGAACCGCCCTGGATGAGCATCTCAATGATCGCCACCGTGGCCAGGCGACCGCTGACGAGCTCAGCCGCCAACTTCTCCTGCTTCTCTCCAGCGTCGCAGGACGCCAGCACCTGGACATCGAGCTCGCCCGCCGCGGCAGCGGGGCCAGCGGACTGGCGCCGGGGCAGCTCGCCGGAGACGCCGCGCGCCACGATCTGCGCCCAGCCCGCCGCGGGAACCTTGAAGGTCGCCTCGAGGTCGTTCGGATTGTCTGCGATCTTCCAGCCAGCGGACGGCGACAGGTACCCTGACAGCATGCCAGTGATCTCTGACGTGATATAGCTTGTCGTCGCCAGTATGATCGCACTGCCGCGTTTCATCTCAATCCGCTGGCGGGCGGAGTTCTCCGCGCCGTCTTCAGCAGCGAGGCCAGCGGGGCCCGGCCAACCAGGCCCTGTACCCCCAGCTCACTGTCGAGGGCGCGCAGCGGAGAGCCCGCGCGGCGTGCCCAGTCGCCCGAAGCGGAGCCATTTCAACTCGCACTGGAGGAAAATGCTCACGGTCGCCATCATGGCCAGACGACTGCTGACGATCGCGGCCGCCAACTTCTGGCCCCCCTCAGCGTCGTTGGGCGTCAGCACGTTGCAGCCGAAGTCATCCGCCGCGGCAGGGGCGCCAACAGCCTGGCCCTGGATGAACACGCCGCTGATCGCGATCGTGGCCCGAAGACCGGTGGCGATCAGGGCCGCCGCCTCCTTCTGTTTCTCGTCAGCGCTGCTGGGCGCTAGCACCTGGAGGCCGAAGTCGCCCGTCGCCGCAGAGTAGCCCGCGGACTGGTCGCGGGGCAGCCCGCAGAGCGCGACGTACGCCACGATCTGCGCCCAGCCCGCAGTGGGCACCTTGGGGGCAGCGCCGAAGTCGTTCGGCGCGCGCGCGCGAACTTGCAGTCGGCGGGCGGCGACCGCGCGTCGGTAGCGCCTGAGGCGACGCAGTCCATCATCGCCAGCATAGCCGCGCGGCCGCGCTTCAGCTTGGTCCGCGGTGCCGGCCGGCTGGCGGAGTTCGCCGAACCCCCACCCGCAGCGAACGGGATCCCAACAGGCCAGGTCCATCGCGCCTAGCTCACTTTCGCGCAGGCGCGGCGGGGAGCCCGAGCGCCGCAACCTGTCGCCCTGCGCGGAGCCATCAAAGCAGTCCTGGAGGGGCATGCCGGTGTCCGCCGTCATGGCCATGCGACTTCCGGCGCTCTCAGTCGCCAATTTCTCCTGCTTCTCGCTGGCGTTGCTGAACGATGGCGCGCTGAAGCCGGAGTCGCCCGCCGCGGCGGATGGCGGCGGCCCCGGCGACACGCTCTGACCGGCGAGCGGATAGCGCGTCGCTCCGCCCCGCGGCGCAGGAGGCCAGGAAGAGCTCGGGACGTTGGCGCGGTCGCCACGCACACAGTGCCTCTGCTTGTCCCTGGCCTCGCTGGACGCCAGCGCCTTGAAGCCGAAGTCGCCCGCCACGGCGGCAGAGCCAGCGGACTGGTCCTGGGGCAGCTCACTGGAAACGCCGCACGCCACGATCTGCGCCCAGCCCGCCGCGGGAGCTTGGCCGCCCTGAGCAAACCCGCAGGCCGCAGAGGAGGCGGCAGCCGCCACCGCGGCAGCAGCGGCGGGAGCAGCGGCGGCAGCGGCGGCTGCCGCGGCGGCGTCGGCCGCGGCGGGCCCCAGCGCGGCCACACGAGCCACGGCCGCGGCACCTCGGGCCGAGCTGCCAGCGGCAGCGGCGGCGGCCGCATCGGCGGCGGCCGAATGCCGCGGCGGCCACCGCACCGACGGCGCCAGCGGCAGCACCGGCGACGGCGCCGGCGGAAGCCGCGGCAGCGGCCACCGCGGCCGCGGCCGCGCAAGCCGCCGCGGCGGCGGCAGCCGCCGCCGAGTCCAGGGCGGCCGCGCGCGCGACGGCGGCCGCAGCACCCGTCGAGCAGCCGCCCGGCGCGGCGGCGGCGGCGCCAGCGGCGGGCGAGGCGGCGCGCGGCCGCCGCGCCGCAGGCGCCGCCCGCGGCGCTGGGGCCGCCAGCGGGGGCCGCCAGAGGGGGCCGCAGCGGCGGCAGCAGCGCACGCGCAGGCGGCGGCGGCCGCAGGGCCAGCCTTGGCAGGGCTGCCGAGCCAGCCGGCGGCGCCAGCCCTGGGGGCGGCACGCCGCGCAAGGCGGCCGCGTGCCGCTGGCGGCGGCGGCGCGCCGTCCGCGACACCGCTGCGCCAACGGCCGCAGCGACCGCGGCGGCGCCGGCCAGCGGGCGTCGCCACCGCGCGCCCAGCATGGCACCGGACGGGGGGAGAGGCTGGGACGGGCCCCCCTTTCCAGCCCCCCCCAGGCGGGCGAGCCGGAGGCAGGGGCCACCTCTGGCTCGGAAAGCGGCTGGCTCGGCACTTGAGCCAGAGCGGCCTTGAGGCTACGGATCCTCGCGCGCACACGCGTACGTTAGCAGACAACTCCTGGGAAGTTTCGCCCCTGAGAGGCCCAAGAGATCCCCCAAGAGGCCTCCCAGACGTCGCACTACAGACCACCAACGGCCTCCCAAACAGATCTCAAAGTCTGCTGAGGGGCCCTCAAGAGACCCCAGACAAGCTACCATTTGCGTCTTGACCTCAACCTCCTTCACGCTGCGCTGGTACTCTGGCGCGGTGGCGGAGTATGCCACAGGCAGGTGGACATGTCCATCACGAATTCGACCATGAATACTTGAACCGTTTTAGGGGTTACACAAGAAATAGGCCGTAACAAAAAAAACAACACGCTATTAATATGTACATTTGCAACTCGATAATTTGTTCGACCGTCCATGGTAATAGCGATACTTGGTAATGTCGCGAGTTAGCTCGTGGACGAAGTGGGTCGCTGATTAAATCGCCCGTTATGCATACGTTGGTAATCAGCCTGGTACTGAAATATGTCGCTATATTCGAGTCCAGCTTCACTCTATCGTGAGACATGTCGTTCATTAGACCATATGCAGCTCACGAACTCGTTATCGCCATTAAGATGCCTAATCAGTCACATCCGCTGCCGTGCGGCGAAGCACCGAGCGGAGTGTCCTAAGGTCTCTTGAAGGTTTTTGTTGAAAGAAGACGACGGGAATACGACGAGAAACAATTGCACAAACATAAACTTGAGGAGGTCCGCGCGAATTTCCTGGATCGGCGCCAGACTTAGGTCGAGCCTGTCCCCCTACAGGGGGAACTTGGACGAACAATAACAAAATACCCCTGAAATGCTCCAAAAATGCTCAAAAATAATCAAAACAACAAAAAAAAAAAAAACAAAAAAAAGTCCCTGACGATTTGTTTACTCTTTTTGAATATCACCCCTGTAGAGGGACAGGCCCGCGCCAGGGGAGGCGCCGGTCCAAGAGATCCTCGCGGACCTCCGCACGCTCATGTCTATGCTTGTGGATGCCACGACAATGGACACCCTAACAATCCGATCATTTAATTTACAATGTACTTAAAATGTCGGAAACATGTTCTGAGCATGTTTTAAGCATGGTTTTACATATTTAAAATATGTTGGTTTACATGTTTTAGACATCTGGAAACTATTTGGCAACATCTTCCTCTCCATTGACCATCCTCCACAAGTCTATGCCGATGTGTCTTCTTCGAGGGGAGGGGGCGGAGGCGGGAGGGCCTCGTTCAGGGCGTGGCGGAACTCTGGCGTGAGCTTGTCCAGGAGCGGCACCTCGTCGCAGTCGGCCAGCAACGCCTGCGACAGCATGGGCGGCGCGACGCTCGGCGCCCGTCCCGACATCTCGACGACGCTCGTCGTTCGACGACACTCGCCGGATCAGTCGGCACGGAGTCGCTGATCTGGCGGAAGGTGCTTCGGATCGAAGCGGAAGGTGCTTCGGATCGGGCTGCGTCGGCACGGAGTCGGAATCGAACCCGATCGGCTGCGCCAGGAAGCTCAACAGCACCACGCGAGCGTCGGGCCGCATCGGTCCGTCGGAATCCTGGAATCGAATCGGATCGGGCCGGCCGGACTCAATGTCGAATCGGATCGGTCGGATCGAAGTGGGCCCCACATTCGTCGTCTACGACGACGCTCGACGACCTGCGGCGGCGGCGGCGTTCAGCACTCGTTCGACGTTCGATCCACGTTCGCCGTCTCTGCGACGGCGTTCGACAAGGATCGTCGCCTAGGATGGCGCTCGACGACGTTCGGCGGCAATGTTCGCTGACGGCGGTCAACGTTCGTAACGCGTTCGCCGACGACGCTCGGCGTTCAACGGCGGTCGTCGTCCACCACAGCACTCGACGACGTTCGACGGCGACGCTCAGCGTTCGTTCGGTGTTCGAATCTCGACGCTCGGCGCTCGGCGCTCGGCGCTCGGCGCTCGGCATCCGTCTTTTCGGCGTTCGCCGCTGCCCGACGGCGCACCAGGACGGCGCTCCCGTTCCTGGGCACGGGGGGGCGGGAGGAGGGAAAAGAGGAGGAGGAGGAAGAGGACGACGACGACGGCGGCGACGGCGACGGCGACGGCGGCGACGGCGGCGACGACGGCGACGGCGGCGGCGAGGCGAAGCAGAAAGCTGCAAGAGGCGGAGGAGGATGATTTGTCTGGCCGCAGCCCAACCGTGCCTGTTACCCCCGCTACAGTCGGAGCGTTGACCCAAGGAACCCTAAATAAGGAACGAGGCCCCTTTCATCCACAAGTTGAACTTCGACTTCCCATCGAAAACCAAAGGAAAACCCAAGGCAAACTTTGACACAATCAAGGAACACCGAGACCCTCCCCAACGAAAAGGGTTCCTTCTTCAGGGCCCCGACTGTAGGCCTTTGCCTGCTCCTCCTTCGCCGCGATCCTGGCTCGGAGGGTCTCGAGGCCCGTCCGCGGTCGTGTGGTGGCGCGGTCGTCCGCCGCGGCTGCGACTCACGACGTGTGCGCTCGCCTCGGCCTCGGTGCGCGGAGCCTCCGGCTCAGCACAAAGAACTGGAAGGTCGAGCTTGGGGCGTAAGCCTCGCCCCAACCTCCCCTCAAAGCGGCACGGCAGGCTCGTGTCGTGTCGACCCAGGTGTTGGTTCCTGACACCGCGGGATCGCTCAACCTTGAACGATCGGCCGTTTCCGCAACGTCCAATCGTTCAACATCGATCGATTCTGGGCCGCCGCCGGCGTTCAACGTCGGCGTTCAACGTTGAACGCCGGCGGCGGGGTCGCCGCCGGTCGACACGACACGAACCTACCGTACTGGCTGCACTGCTGCGCTCGTTATCCGGCTTCGGACGGGCGTAGCGACACAGCAAGCTGTGCAGCCTGCCTTGCGCACAGCCCCCGCGACACAGACAGAACAACAAAGGTCTGGGGAGATCTCCGACGTGCGTGCTGGCCAGTACATGACCCTGCTCGTGAGACTGCGTCAGCATTTGTGAGAAACCTTCGCATCTTACCTCGGGTCTGGCACCTCTAGCGCCAGCATAAAACTGCAGACCGCTAGCACACAAATGCCCTTAAAGCCATTATTGCGAAGTGTGCCAGCCCTCAGCAAGTTGAAAGACGTTCTTCAAACCGGCCTTACGACGGGGGCGCCCATGGAGGTCCCGGGAAAACGCGACAACAAAGCCGCCATGCATCGTGCCACCGCTTCGAGCTTCTCAATCGAAGTCTGGACCGCATCACACTCATTCTGCGCAGCCCTGGGGTGCGTGAGAACCGCCTGATCACCCTCCGCGTCGGCATGCCTGCTGGCCCTGCCGATGGATCGCTCTGACCCGGACAACATATCTATGACAGCTAAATCTCTGTGAGCAGGAATCCATACGTCTGGGGCACACCTACTTCTGACCATATGCTGCAAAGCCCCCCTCCTGAGCCTTGCGTACCTTTGACGATGGGACAGCTGAACCTGAAGGAGCCTGTTATGGAGTACCACCGCGTTCATGCAATCACTGTAGCCGGCTTCGCCGCACACTGGAACGATGATGGGGAGAAGCGCCAACTGCAGCTGCTCAGCCGCCGCGAAAAGGGAAAAAAGGTGACGAGGCAGGAGAGAGGAGGGAGGAGAGAGGGGAGAGGGGAAAGCAGGTAGCAGGAGGGAGGAGGTAGGAGGGAGCAGAGATGATACGACAAGATAGGTGCGCAAGCGTCTTACCGGACGTCCGACCCCTCCCTCCCGTTCCCATGGCGTACAGCTCCTCTCTATTCGCACACTCGGATGCCGAGCAGGGCAATGATCCCGAGAGGGTACGAGATGCATGGACTCGCACGGCGTACCACGGCGTAAACGAGCACGGCAAGGCGTCGACGGGTCCAGAACATGACTCCTGTTCGACAACAGCTTCTGCGGGAAACCCAACATGACGCAGGGCGAGACATGTACATGGACGGTGTGGAAACACCAGAAGCGTAAAAAGAGACCCAACGTTGGTCGAGAGCACGACCCACTTAGACAATAGGTTATGAGGGAAATCCAACATGACGCAAGACAGAAAATGGAAAGGGACTGCTCGGAGAAAAAAGCGCCAGGACGGCCTTCACCCCAGCGCGCCTGCACCACGCCTCCTGAGCGCTGATGCCGCGCGCGTGGAGGTGCGTCTCCTGGACGATCCACGCGTCCCCGCGGTGACTCTCCACGAACCCACCGCCAGTCTCCTCCTCCTCCTCCTCCTCCTCTTCCTCCTCCTCCTCCTCCTCCTCCTCCTCCTCCTCCTCCTCCTGTCAGAGCTGGGTGCGCGGGCCCCAGCCAGACCAGTTGACCGTCGTGATCACGAAAATGTCCTTGCGCCTCGGGCGGGCGCGCCGCTGCCAGGCTGGCCGCCTCGGGGCCGCGCCCTCAGGGCGGTCGGGGCGGCTGCCGCCCTCTCCACGCGGGCCCGCCCCATCGGTGTTGCGCGCTCGGGCGCCGCGCGGGCGGCAGGCGCGTCGAGGCACAGGGGCACGAGCGCGCAGCCGCTGTCACCTCTTCTTGATGACTCCGCCGCTGCCGCTGCGGCGGTCACCTCCTGCCTTGTCGCGGGCTGCAGCGATAACGCTACGGATCTTCTCGCGGCTGAGGCAGGGCGGTCGCCATCACCGTCAGGACCCACCAGATCCGCCGCCAGGGCCGATTCCAGCGCGTCGTCCATCGCCGCGTCCGCTGCATCAGCTTCGTCCTGGCTGGCAAAGACCTCAACGGGCTCCGCGCTGGTGCCGCCTCCTGCGCCGGTCGGCCTGGGCGGCGCGGCGACGTCGACGGCCTCCTGTTTGCCCCACTCCTCGACGAGCTGCACCGCGGCCGCGACCTCGGAGGGGACCTGGCCCACCACCGCGGCCTCGAGGTCGCCGAGGAAGTCCAGGAAGAGCCGCCCGCGCTCGGCTGGCGTGGCGGCCTCGGTCGCAAGCTCCGCCAGGTGGGTCGCCGCGACCTTGGCGCGCTCCGCGCCGAGGGCGGCGCGCTCGGCCAGCACCGCCTCGAGCTCCTTCTCGGCGTTGGCGAAGGCCTCCTTCCGCTTGGCGACCTGCTCCTGCTTGGCCACGCTGCGTTTGTCCAGCTCGCCCAGCTCGGCGTCGATCGCCCGCAGCTGCTCGCGCGGCGGCTTGGCCTGGCGCAGCTCTTCCTGGAATCGGGCCATCTCGCTGCGGTAGGACGCGAGGAGCGACACCATGGCCTCGCCCGAGCTGCCCATTTCCTCCAACTTCGCGATGGGGCCTCGCAGCTCCGCCACCCTGTCGCTGCCGCGTGCCTCCTCCGCGCCAGCGGCGCCCCTCGAGCGCTGCAGCGCCTTGTTCTCCTTCTTGAGGCCGCCGAGCTCGCGCCGCAGGGCCTTGACCTCCTTGCTGGTGCCAGCCGCTGCGCCGCCGCGAGGCCCGCGTGCCGAAGCCGAGGCGGAGCGCGGCCTCGCCCACGGCGGCCGCTCGGCACCGCACGCGCGGCAGGCAGCCCGAGCTGCCCAGTTCCCCCTGGCCCCGCAGGAGCAGTCCCGACTCGCCTTGCTGCCGCCGCCCGCGCCGCCGTGGCCCGCCATCCCCCTCGGTGAGGAGCCGTGGTGGCCCGCGAGGATGCTGGCGCCCTCCGCCAGGCGCTCGCGGAGGCGCACGCTGCTCCTGCCGGCACAGGCCGCCAGCAGCAGGCGGTCCCGCTGGCGATCGCGGCGAGCTCTGTGGTGGCTTGCCGATTCGTGCACCGTGTTTGCGCCAGTGTCAGCGCGAGGAATCGCGTCAGCCTGGCTGACGCACCCAAAACCCTCGAGCCAAAATGATGATGATGATGATGATGATGATGATGATGATGATGATGATGATGATGATGATGATGATGATGATGATGATGATGATGATGCTGCTGATGCTGATGCTGATGCTGATGATGATGATGATGATGATGATGATGATGATGATGATGGAGATGGTGATGGTGATGGTGATGAAGATGGTGGTGATGGTGATGGTGATGGTGATGGTGATGGTGATGGTGATGGTAAGGGTGATGGTGATGGTGATGGTGATGATGATGATGATGATGATGATAATGAAGATGAAGATGGAGATGATGATGGTGATGGTGATGGTGATGGTGATGGTGATGGTGATGGTGATGGTGATGGTGATGGTGATGGTGATGATGGTGATGGTGAAGGTGATGATGATGATGATGGTGGTGATGATGATGACGATGAAGATGAAGATGAAGATGAAGATGATGCTGATGATGATGATGATGATGCTGATGATGATGATGATGATGATGATGATGATGATGATGATGGTGATGGTGATGGTGATGGTGATGGTGATGATGATGATGATGATAATGATGATGATGATGATGATGATGATGATGATGATGATGATGATGATGATGATGATGATGATGGTGGTGATGGTGATGGTGATGGTGATGGTGATGGTGATGGTGATGGTGATGGTGAAAGGGGGAAAGAGTGGGCAGCGGGAGGAGGAGGAGGAGGAGGAGGAGGAGACGCGGGGCGCTGTCTCGTCAAAACGAGGACCCAACACCGAGGGATGGTTGGGAACAACTCAGGTTCACCCCCCAGTACCTCGCGGAGGAGGAGGAGGAGGAGGAGGAGGAGGAGGAGGAGGAGGAGGAAGAAGGGGAGGAGGAGTGAGGAGGAGGAGGAGGAGGAGGTGGCGCGGGGCGCTGTCTCTTCAAAACGAGGACCCAACACCACAGGATGGCTGGGAAAAATATCTGGAGAGGAGGGCGCCGACGAAGAGGGCCTCCGTCGGGAGGAGCGTGTCGTCGTAGTCCAGCAGCACTGCGCAGGGCTGCCAGGGCTGCAGCTGCTGCCGCCGGTCGCCGCCGCCTCCCAGGGGGGGCGAGCGGGGAGGGTGGCGGCGACGTGGCTGCTCCCTGCCGCGAGGGAGGGCCGGAGGGAGGGAGGGAGGGAGGGAGGAAGGAGGGAGGTGGAAGGAGGGAGGGATGGAGGGAGGAAGAAGGGGGGGGGATGGAGGGGGTAGGGGAGAGCAGGCAGAAAGGACGAGGAGGAGGAAGGAGGGGGGAGGAAGGGGATGAGGGAAGAGGAAGAAGGGGGAAGGAGGAGGAGGAGGAGGAGGAGGACAAAGGAGGGGGGAAGAGGAGAAGGAGGAAGGGTGAAGGGAGAAGGCTTTCTCCCTCCCCTTGGATACTTTCTCCGTCCCCCCTCGCAATGTTCTCCCTTCCCACCTTGGTAAGTTCTCCCCCCCGACCGCTTTCTCCCTCCCCACCGGGAGGCAGGAGGGAGGAGGAAAGAAGGGAAAGAAGCAAGGAGGAATGCAGGTGCCACTGGCCCTCTAGGCGCAGGTGGTTTAGGGAGTCTCTTTCTCGCATAACCCCTTTTTCCACTTAGAGGGGAGGATTGCCTCTCGCACTACCCCCACACTGACAGACCTCCACCTTCGCCCGGCCACGCGAAGAAGATGAGAGGAGCCTATTCCCTGACTCTCCGCCCTCCGCACCCTCCGGCCAGCAGGTGGCCGATCTCATGATCTCGAGGGACGGGAATTTCCATGAAAATAAACTCTCGCAGCTCCGCGCGGACTTCTTGGGTCGGCGCTGGCCCCCCATGGCGGCGCCTCCGGCGACTCCCCTGGCGCGCTCCTGCCGACTGCGAAACACGTCCTGGGACACCAACCCCTCCTCATTGACATCCAAGTGGGCCTTGATTTCGAAGACCTCACTCGGGTGCTGAGAAGTGTTTACATATTGACACATGCTAGAATACTTCCGCTTAAACGAGAGGCGATCTGATGCTGGCAGTGTTTTGTGTTTGACAGCCGCCAGACCATCAGAGTACGCTTCAAAAGAACCAACCGATTGGAGACAAGACATCCCTAACGAAGAACACTCGCCAGCAGGAGCTTTCTGGGTCAAGGGCGCAAGTACTGGCCCGCGCACTGAGTAGAGGAATTCACCGTCGCTCCGAACGCGGGCGGCCCCACACTGAGCACGAGGCAGATCGACAACTGAGTGCTTGAAACAAGACCCATCGATTCAAACCTGACCCTGCATGCCCCCGCTCTCTCTCTCTCTCTCTCTCTTTCTCGCCTTCTCTCTCTCTCTCTCTCTTTCTCTCACTCTCTCCGGAAAGCCGTCGGATCGAATCACACTCCCGCCCAACGATCGCGACTCTGGACAAATAGGCCGTAGGGTGCTCGAAAACACCACGACAAAAAAAAAGCACGACCTGAGTCCGGTAAATGACATGAAGCTTCGGCAAGAACTGATACAATGACAAGCAATTTCCTCCTTTTCCTCTTTCCAAGCCGCACATACCCAAACTTCTTTTTCAAAACAAAAGCTAAGCAAACATATATCGGAGGTTGGGGGTGAGTCCGACGTGAAACGGAGACCCCCCCTACCGGGAAATCGACTTCGGTTTCGGGTTCGTGTCGCGCGTGCCGTGCGTGCGTGCGGGCGAGGCGAAGCTGCGTGGGCGGGCGAGAGGAAATCCTCCTGTGGCTGGGCCGCGGCCGGACCAAATGTTTCTCCTCCGGCGGCTGGTGGCCCGCGGTGTCCCGCCGGTGTCCCGCTGGTGTCCCGAAATCCTCCTGTGGCTGGGCCGCGGCCAGACCAAATGTTTCTCCTCCGGCGGCCGGTGGCCCGCGGTGTCCCGCTGGTGTCCCGCTGGTGTCCCGAAATCCTCCTGTGGCCGGGCCGCGGCCGGACCAAAAGTCTCTCCACCCGGCAAACGGTGCCCCGCGGTGTCCCGCTAGGGTCCCGCTGGTGTCCCGCTGTGGCTGCATTCCAAGTCAAAGGTTCGCCCAACTGTCCCGCGCTCGGCCGCGGCCGCGCCCGCGCCGCGGCGGATCGCCGCCGAGAGGTGAGCCGCCTTCTCCGCGCGCGTCCTCTGCTGCGGCGGCTCGCCCTGCAAGTCCGCCGAGGCTGCAGGCTGCTTCTCGCCTGCAGCGCTGGCGGCCTCGCCTCCGCCGGCTTCCCCGTGGCCACGCCGCATCCGCCCGCGGCGGTCGTAGGCGCCGTGCCGCTCGAGAGTTGTGCGCTCCAAGCCCGCGTGGCCCCGTCTGGCGCGAGCCGCCCGGCACCCTCGCCCGACAGTCGAAACTCGCCGGGCGGCGCCACGTCGCCGCCGTCGCCGAAGGGCACGAGGAAGATCGGCACGCGCTCCGCGACCCTGGGCACCACGCGCGCCGCCAGCTTCGCCAGGGGGGCCCAGCCCGAAGTCGAAGGCGCGGCGCAGGGCCTCCCGAAGCTGCAGCGCACCGCCGTGCCAGGGCCGCACCTCGGGCCGCACCTCGGGCACAAGCCACCGCAGGGAGGCCGCGCACCAACTGGCCCTCGTCCTACGGACCCATCCAGGACAGGTGATGGTGCGCCTCGCCGCGATGCTTCAAAAGCGCGATGAGAGCTACCGCCGCTGGCACCACTGCCTGGGCACTCGCCAACCCTGCGCGTCCGGCGGCAGTCGGCACACAATTGCCGTCCAGGCGGGCCGAGGAGACTGCCTCGTCGCCAGCCTCCTTCCTGTCTCTCCACCGCGCGCTGCGGCCGAGCCCGCCTATGCGTGGTGTTGCGGCCGTTGACGTGGCTGCCGGCCGCACTGCAGGAGGAGGAGGAGGAGTGGAGTGGAGCAATCGGACGTAGTCCGTTCGGAACCCAGAGATGCCAGGGGGGCCATCCAGAATTTCTCGGAGGGCCGTGGGGGGCGACATCCCACGGCCCACCGCGACAGGCCCCCCTGGCCTCACAATTTACTCGGAGGCAGCACCCGCCGCGTAGGAACCGATCGCGGCTTCGGCTGCCGAAGCGCGCAAAGCCTCTAGCACTGACTTGCTGGGACCCGATCTGGACGGGTGGAGGCCTCGCCTGATCCTGCTGAGGTTCTCGCCAGTGGGTCCCAGGGCCCTGCGCTCTCCCACTTGGTGGGAGAGAGGGCACGGCAAAAGAAGGCTTTTAACCTGGTGCGTGGCCGTATGGCCGCACTTCACACAGAAGAACAATTGCCACTTGGGGATGGTGGCCAAAGTGTGGGAGGGGTGGATCAACTTGCCACTGATCACGCGGGGACCCCTCGACCACAGCACCTCTCCACACGCAGCGAACTCGGGAAGGGGGCAAGGCGGCACACACTCTGTGGCGGCAGCAGGAACAACGTGGCAAGCGTCAACGATGATGAGGCAGGCAGGGCATCTCCATTTGTCTGCACACCGCTCGAATTTGTGCTGAGAAGCCGCGATCACGGTCTGCAACTGAGAGCGAGGGGCTGCCTCCTGGGTGGATTGCCTCTCTGGCCACAGTCCTCGAGGCTCTGAATTCTTGCCTAAAGAACGTAAGATCAGTCGTGCCCTCTGTCGGACGATGGCTGCAATAGCGTCGTATTCATCGGTCCTGGGGACGGGCGGGAGGGCAAGGGTGGCCGACTTGTGGGCCGCGCTTCCCGCGAGCTCGTCGGCATGCTGGTTGCCGAGAGCCAGAAATTGTTGGAAACCATGCAAAGTGAGGGGATCGGCGTGAGATCGGGTCCAGAGCACCGAGACCGAAGAGCCACCGCCAGATCGATCCTGCACGAGGTGCCGAATTCTCAGCCAGAGATCCCCATTCTTATTCTTGCCTCTGAGGCTGCCAGGTCTGAGACATCTGCCATTCTGCCAGCCGCGCTGTAGGGCTAGGTGATCAGTAACAAACGTGAAATCCTGCTGGCACGTCTCCAGTGCCAGGCAAAACGCATGCAATTCGCCTCTTGGGACGGTCTGGCGGGGGCCTGGGAGGGGGGCGAGGAGGCCCGCGTGGAGGGTCCAGGAGGCCGAGGGAGGGTCCCATCGGAGGGCCGCGAGGCCTGAGCCAACACGCCGTCGCCTGACGTCGTCGGAAAAGGCGCCGCCAGACCCGTCGCCAAAAAGAAACAACTCGCCCTCAGCGTTACGAGCTCCTTCCCACGACGGCAACCCCTCCCGCACCGCACCAACAAACTCCCACCCGTCCCTCCCAGTCAATGGCTCGAACGCGGGCGTAGTGAGAGCGACAGAGGGAATGCCACGGAGCCACAGGGCAGGGTCGGCATCGGCCCCCGCCACGGCTCGCGGTAGTAACTTGTCACTGGCCTCAAACTCAGGTCCCACATTCGCCTCGCACTGCCACATTCGGTGAAACAAGGTTTCAGGAACTCCTGCGCTGCATCGGTCGCAGTTCTTGTCGATCTGGTAGCCCGCGTTGTGGAGGCGGTCTCTGGTCCATTGTCCACCACTGATGACGGTGTTGTTGAGGGCCCAGTCGCTGAAATCACCGTTTGCGAGGAGCCTCCTTTGTTCAATGCGGATAGTGACCATGTCCGCGCCTCCAGCCAGCGTGTCACCATGGTCATGCGTAGCGGCCTGAGTCCAGAGGAGCCTGTGCAAATCCTCACTGAGGTCCTGCAATACTGTGTGGATGTCGGCATCGAGGAGGTCAGGGTCGTCGGCAGGGGGGAGGTTCCACTCCTCGATGTAGCCGTCCTTCGTGCGCCTCCACGTGGAGGAGGAGGAGGAGGAGGAGGAGGAGGAGGAAGAGGAGGAGGAGGAGGAGAGGAGGAGGAATGGAGAAGGAGGAGGAGGAGGAGGAGGAGGATCGAGGAGGAGGATGACGAGGAGGAGGGAGGCGAGACGAGGGAGGAGGGAAGGGGAGGATGAGGAGGAGCAGAAGGATCGAGGAGGACGAAGAGAAGGAGGAGGAGAAGAGGGAGGAGAGGAGGGAGGAGGAGGAGGAGGAGGAGGAGGAGGAGGAGGAGGAGGAGGAGGGGGAGAATCGAGGCGGACGAGGAATGAAGAGGCGCCGCTGGCCGCCTGCGGCCGGGCCGCGGGGCGAGGGCCGCGCGGCGCCGCCGCCACCGCCCGCGGCGGTGTCCTGCGGCTGGCCGCGGGGCGAGCGGCCCCCGCGAGGGGTTCGCAGCCTCGGGCAGCGCACGGGGGATGGCGGAGGCGAAGGTTCGAGGCGGAGGGGGGCGAAGGTTCGAGGCGGAGGAGGAGCAAGTTCGAAAGGGAGGACGAGGAGGAGGAGGAGGAGGAGGAGGAGGAGGAGGAGGAGGAGGAGGGGAAGGAGGAGGAAAAGGAGGAGGAGGAGGAGATTTGTTCCCCGTGGGTGGACAGTGCCCTGGAATGGGCATGTAGGGTCCCCGCCTTCGTGTGGCCGTTGGCGGCTGGGGGGGGCCCGTTGGATTCCTTCGGTGCTCTGGAGTGTGGCGGGCCACATTCCTCCGCCAAGCCGCGGAAGACACCATTCTCGCAAGCTGAGCGAAGCCCGCAGCTAGAGCAGAAAAACACAGGGACAGCAGCGTGGCTCGGGTGGAGCACGTTGTCCGCGACCCGTGTGCCAGGCAGCACCGTAAACCGAATTCGCCGAGACCTCAGTCTGGACGGGCCAGCGTTGGGAGGTCAGCCAATCGGCCACCTCCTGGCGGGTCCCCCCGCGGCTCCACAGCGGCGACACGAGAATCTGAGCTCCCCTTCCCCCCCCCCCCGACCCTTCGGCCGCGCAGCAGCGTGCGCAGTCCTAGCAGTCAACGAATTGAAGACCCTGGCTCGGGCAAACTTTCGTTTGGGTGGCACGTGCACGAGTCTGCCACGGCCCCGAGGGAGCACCCTCCTCGAGCCCTGCCACCTGCCTCTCCCGAACCCCACTCGCAGGGCGCTCCGCCTCGCGAGCCATGTCACCTTCGGCTCCGGACAGCTGGCGCTTGGGAGAGGGGAGAGGGCGGTGCCGATGTACAATGACTGCCTCATCAGAATCACGAAGTTGCGTCAGCCACTCTTCCATCTCATGCAACGTCGGGCTGAGATGCGCCGAGTGAAACAATGCAGCGGCGCAAGACACGCGTAGATCAGCACATTAAGTTGGCATATCTAGCACCCCAGGCGCACGTACACAACCATGGGCGAGAAAGCAGATCTCGGAGCACGTGCGAGCAACTGGTGGCACTCCCTCGGCTGCGAGGACAACGGCTGAGATCTGGAGGAATGACTGACATGGCTATGGGCGGAGGCCACATACATGCTGTACGCGGCAACGTTCTCCACGAGACTCTTGCTCATCTCCCTCACCTAGTGGATTATCAGGAACATCTCGAGACGGGGCCCCCCCAAGACAGAATGGGGCCGCGACGGCCCACCAAGACACCCAGAGATGTTCCACCATAACCAATATTGAACTTCTCAACTCGGATCCCCTGGGTCTTGAACTGCTGAACGATCTGGACCCTGGGGGTACCGCCCAAGAAGATAAGCACGCACTTGTCCAGATTCAGCACTCGCCCGCACTTCGGGACTGACTCCGCAAGCACCCTGACGACCAGGGGGAGAATCACGTAAAGGTCCTTCGCCACAACCGCGAGGTTGTCCGCGAAAGCAGTGAAACAGAATTCCACCTGGCACTGGATGGATAAGGATCGGGTCAATCACAAGGGCAAAAAGGACCCCAGACAGGAGGCACCCTTGGTTAATACCTCTCGTACACAGCAAACCGCCCATAAACGATGGGCCCACGGAGATGTTCTTGAAAACTCTGTTGTACAGCTCGTGGATCGCTTTAACAAGGTTCACGGGCACATTCATCCCCCTTCAAACTAGGAAGAACCACGCGTGGAGGACACTCGGGAAGGCATTATTGAAATCGATCAGTGCGCCACCTGCTGCAGACAGCCTTAGAATATGTCCCCAAACCGAAGAGGTGAGCATCGAGTTCGATGACGTTGTCGACGAGTTTCCAACCCCGAACGAACCCACGCTGGCAGACGGCAGTGGTGTCGTGGGCGACCGAGGAAAGAGGCAATGCGACCATTGCATGAAAACACTTTATTGTCCGTGTTCGAAAGCGAGAACATTCGACTCTTCGAAGCGTCGAAGCATGCCGCGTTTCCGAACCCTGGTTCTAAAGCTTACCTGTCGGGGGAAACACGCCGCGCGAGGCATTGAAGTCCCTAGACATATCGCCGCCATTCAATCGACAAAACAACGTGTCATAGACGGCTTGCATCGCGACCTCGCCGCCAGCACGCCATGCACTGTACACTAGCCCATATTCCCCTGACGCTGTGTCTGAGATTCTGCTGATAAGTTCACACAGTACTGGGAACTGCACCGTCCAGTCGAATATATGGTGGGTACTGTTTACATACTGCTCATCCTGTTCAAGGAGCCTCTGAATATCCTGCGAGAAAGCATCATCAGCAGGGACAGTGGGGAAGCGTTCGGCCCTCAAAGACCTTCGACCAAAACGCACTCAGCAGACCGGCGGCTTCGAACGGGTCAGCGCGGACAACCCTTTCGTCATCCTGCACGCCTGCCAGGAAGACTCGCGGCTGAGTGGCGCTCCATGCAGCAGACATACGGCGGACGCGGCACAGGTGGGATGCTTTCTGCTCAAGAGACAGGCTCGCACCACGCAGGATCAAGTTATCCTCCTGGTCCAATTGGGTTCTTACCAGGCCAACACAAAGGACGCGGAAGCCCGCCCAGTTTTTCCAGTTGCCCTCAGCCACGTCGCAGAAGTCGTTGAGCCTAGGGAACCCAGGAAGAAGCAGAAGGGAAAGCCTATGGGACCCAACGCAGAAGGCTGGCCATCGCTCGGACGTCCATTCCCTGTGCCTTTTTCGGTTTCGTGCGTGGTTTTTTCGCCAAATGATCAAGGATGCTCCTCGATGGTCCTCGCCCAAGGAAAAATGCACACGTCCGAGCTATGCCAAGAAGGATCTTAGGAGCCTCAGACAACAGCTGGCCTGGCACGCAGGGTCGCCAGCGCCACTGACCTCCACAAAGTTCCAAGCCAGGCCCGCCGCGCGCCTCAGGGGGTCCTTGATTTCGAAGAGCTTGGAGGGGGATGGTCAGGAGGAGGAGGGGGAGGAGGAGGAGGAGGAGGAGGAGGAGGAGGAGGAGGAGGAGGAGGAGGAGGAGGAGGAGGAGGAGGTGGAGGAGGAGGAGGAGCAGGAGCAGGAGCAGGAGCAGGAGCAGGAGCAGGAGCAGGAGCGACGAGGAGCGAGGAGGAGCGAGGGCAAGCGAGGACCCGATTTGCCCAGACGGCGACCCCGGCGACGACGTCCACGACGCCGACGGCCACGACGCCGGCGGCGGCTTCGCCGCCGACGACCACGCCGCCGACGACAACCCTGGCCACGACGACTACGCCGCCGACGATGGCGCACGTGGGCGGCGAAGGTTCGAGGCCGCGGAGAGGCTGCGGCAAGTCCCCACCACGGCGACGTCGGGGCTGGCTCCCGACGCCGCGCGGGCAAATTCAATACTGAACGAGCTCCGCCCTCACGCGGCCCCCGGAGAGCCTCTCGGCCCCATCCCTCGCGCGGGCTTCGCCCCGTGGGCTCGGGGATCTTCTGACCCGGGTCAATCCAGACCCGGGTCAATCCAGACCCGGGTCAGCAGGAAACCAAAATCTGCAATGCAGGGGAAAAAAAAAACTGCAACACAGGTCTTCACAAACCCGGGTCAGCCAATATGCGCGGCTGCCTCGCGGCCACGAGCGGCTCGCTAACCCGGGTCAACCAGAGAGGGTTTTCGCAGGATCCTGCAGGATCCGGTGCCCTGGCTGACCCCCGTCTGCATTGACCCCCGTCTCAAGGCTCCCGGTGGGCTGTCTCCTGCGGGCCGCTGGGCCCGCAGCGGACTCGGGAGGGGAGCCTCCACCTTGCACGCCGGCAGACGGCTCGCGGAGGCTGCAAGACGGCGGGCCAGCTGTCCCAACGGACAACACGATGCTCCGAGGCAGGTCGGCGCGCCGGGCGGCGAGCGTGCACGGGCAGCGAGGGAGGCGCGGCGGGGAGAGCGGCGGCAAGGGTGCTCGGTCGGCCATCTTCTCTGAAGGGGCCCCAGGACACACATATAAATACACACAAATAAAAGGATTCCCCATATTTTCCCATCTTTTCTGGGTGTCTGTCGTCCCCCACACTTCCCATATTTTCCCATACTTTCTGGGGAATCGAGGATTAATTGTGTCTGTGTGTTTTTTCCTCTCCTGATTCTCGTCTCCCTGGCGCGAGAGGAGGCACGGGGAAGAGCACGCCCGCACTCGGGGCGCGAAGGGGCACCACGCAGGAGCGGGGGGGGGGCAGGAGCGAGAGCGGGGGCGGGATGATCGACGGCCAGGTTCGGGCCTTGGTTCGCCGGCCCAGGCCTTCTCTTCGTCGTCGTCTCCATCAGTACTGCCACCGCCATAATCACAGACGACTCCACTCATCAGGACCACTACCATCCATCCATCCATCCATCCATCCATCCATCCATCCATCCATCCATCCATCCTCCTCCTCCCCCTCCTCCTCCTCCTCCTCCTCATCATCATCATCATCAACAACAACAACCACAACAACAACAACAACAACAACAACAACAACAACAACAACAACCACCACAACAACAACAACAACAACAACAACAACAACAACAACAGCATCATCATCATCATCAGCAGCATCATCATCATCATCAACAACAACATCAACAACAACGACAACAACAACAACGACAACGACAATGACAACGACAACAACAACGACAAACACAACAACGACAACGACAACGACAACGACAACGACAACAACAACAACAACAACAACAACAACAACAACAACAACAACAACAACAACAACAACAACGACAACAACGACAACCACACTAGCAGCAACAGCAACAGCATCATCATCACAACATCATCACCAGCATCATCATTATCAGTACCCCTCTCAGTATCGTTATCATCATCAATATCGTCGTCATCAACACCAACAGTATCATCATCACCACCACCACCACCAGCTGCATGATCAGCAGCATGCAGTATCATCATATCCACCACCTCCACCATCATCATCAGCATCAACATCATCATCAGCATCAGCATCAACATCAGCATCATCATCACCACCATCATTATCCTACCCGTTTTCTTCCATACTTCTCCCCATTATCCTCCCTCGTCATCTGTCTTCCCCTCTCCCTCCGTCTCCCCTTCCTCTCTTATCCTTCCCGCTCCCTCCTCCACCTTCTCTATCCATCCTTCTTCTCTGCCTGAACTCCTGGCCGATCTGCCTTTACAGTGGCCCCTCTGCCTTTCCAATGCCCGCTATGCCCTCACCGACGACGATCGACACCACCAAGACGACGACGACGACGACGACGACGATCACCATGTCAAACCAGATGCGAATCGTACTATGCAGGTCAGGTGTCTGGAGCGCCAACGGGGGCTCAGAACTTGAAGGATGCCTGCAACAAAGCAAGCCCCCACTGGGATGTCCGATACCCCAGCATCGCCTGGACACGCAGGGGTAGGGATTGGAAGTGGTCGCAAACATCATCTCGACTAGAAGCAACAAAACTGCATAAGTGTAACCTTTCGAAGGTCTGCGCAGATTTCTTGGATCGGCGCTGGACTCCCCTCCCTGGCGCGCGGAGCGTGCCAGAGGCGGCCCCAGAGGCACCTCCAGGAGAATCCAGCGCAGATCCAAGAAATCCGCGCGGACCATCAAGACTGTACGCTTATGCCGACGACGACGACGACGACGACGACGACGACGACGACGACGACGACCACGACGACCACGACGACGACGATGATGACAACGACCGCCACCGCGACGACGGCAGTGGCAGCAGCAGCTGGAAGCCTCCAAAATAGGGTCCGAATAGGCGGGTTCGGGGGATCGCGCCGCATCGCCGATGCATCGCCGATACATCGGCCATGCATCCGCGACGTCGGCGATGCATCGGCGCCGTCGGCGTGGAGAAAATCAGGCTCCAAATCGAGACGCATCGCCGATACGTCGGCGATGCTGCGCGATCCTCCGACCCCATCTGTTCCGACCCCGTCCGTGGGGAACCAAGAGGGTACCGATGCCGCCACTCCGCGGACCTCTCCCAAAAGTGCGTTCTGCTCGCTTCTCGGTCGTGGAAGCAAGCGGGTAGCGGCATAGGTACCTCTTCCCCCTCGGAGCAAATAGCCTGAAGCAGCGACGACGACCGCGGTGGCGGTGGCGACGACCGCGGCGGCGACGGCGCCGACGGGGCGAGCGCGAGAGGTGGAGAATCAGAACACGAGGACTGTGACCAGGACCGAACGCGGAAACGTCGGCGTCGCAATCTTGGTCACTGACCATTTTGGCCGTCGTCGATTCCCGCATCGTCCTCGCGGATCGGCAACGGCCGGCATGGACCATGACAAAGTGACGACCCACCAGACCACCCTAACCCAAACCCGAAGACCCGAATTTCGGGTTGGGGGCGTACGAGCTTCATATGTGCTTTTGACAATGTTCCCCGTCCCCCCCCACTGGAAATAGAGGGCAAATCGGGGCCTTTGGGTTGGGCTGGGGTGGTTTGGTGGGCGGTGCCAAGATCGGCGTCGACGAGACCCCGTGGCACCTCAGCAGTGACCATCGTCCCCCCCCTCCAGAGGGGGGCGCGCGGCCGCGGCGAGCAGCGGGGCGCGGGCCGCGGCCGCGGCGGCGGCAGAGTTAGGCCCGCGGCCCGGGCAGGCTGAGCCCGGCCATGTCTGCCCCGCTCGCCGGCGGCCTGGTGCTGCCAGGGCGGCCTACTAGCCAGGGGGGGGAGCTGCAGTGCAGGACCAGCTGTTCGGCAGCATCGCGAGCAGGGAGGAGATCTCGGCGCCCTCGAGATCTGAGACGGCAGCTTTTTCGACCGTTGCCGATCCGATGGTATGCCAAAGAGCAGTGTAGCTGCTCTCTACATCTCTAGACCAGGCCGAAAAACGATGCGACCTTGGGGGGAGGGGTGGGAGTGGGGGGGTGAGGGGGGGCACACACCGAGCTCGACAAGGGAGGGCACGCGGGCGGGCACAGGGCTCCTCCGTGCACGCGGCCCCTGGCCGCGGGAGTGCGGAGCGCGCGAGGCGCGAGGAGCAGGACACGGGGGCAGCCTACTGATCAACCTGAGTGGCGGGGTCGACCCCATGGTCAGACTCGACTCGAGAGGGAGGAGGGGCGAGGAGGAAGCGAGGAGAGGCGAGGGGGAGCAGCAAGGAGCGTCAGACGGCACAAACTGTCTGCCTCCCGGATCCCCGCCAGGCCCATCCTGGGACGAGCATCGGCGCAGACGTCTCCTTGGCTTGGCCAGGAAGGCATACACGCCACTCCCTGGCCCATGATGGGCCTGGCAGGGATCGGTCCTCCTCCTCCTCCCCCTCCTCCTCCTCCTCCTCCTCCTCCTCCTCCTCATCCTCCTTCCTCCTCCTCCTCCTCCTCCTCCTCCTCCTCCTCCTCCTCCTCCTCCTCCTCCTCCCTCTCCCTCCTCCTCCTCCTCCCTCCTCCTCCTTCCTCCTCCTCCTCCTCCTCCTCCTCCTCCTCCTCCTCCTCCTCTCCTCCTCCTCCTCCTCATCATCATCATCATCCTCCTCCTCCTCCTCTCCTCCTTCTCCTCCTCCTCCTCCACCTCCCCATCCTCCTCATCTCCTCCTCCTCCCTCCTCTCCTCCTCCTCCTCCTCCTCCTCCTCCTCCTCCTCCTCCTCCTCCTCCTCCTCCTCCTCCCCCTGGGGAATCTGATGGGAGCCGACGATGGGGTGTGTGGCGGTGGGGTTGGGCCCTCGCCTCTTTGTGTTGGGTCCTCGGATGGGCCCGCTGGCGGGCCTCCTCGGGCGCCCGCGGCTCCTGGGATCCAGGCCCCCGCCAGCTTCCACCAGTACGGGGCGAAGGTCCCTATGCTGGACCTGGCCCGAGTTGCTCGCCTGCATGGGTTTGAGTCGCCTTCTTTTGCGGTGGGATGTGCGAGGGAGTGCAGGCGGGCTAAGCAAGGCTGCGGGTCCGAGTCGGAGTGGTGGCCCTTAGAGGGGGCCTAGCTCACCCACAGCCGCCGCGGCGGCAGGCGGACTTCGGCCCGCCCAGCCTCCTCCTCCTCCTCCTCCTCCTCCTCCTCACTCCTCCTCCTCCTCCTCCTCCTCCTCCTCCTCCTCCTCCTCCTCCTCCTCCTCCTCCTCCTCCTCCTCCTCAAGATCTCTCGGACCGCGGATTGGAAAAAACTGCAGATGAGATTCGGGAGAGCAAGGACAGCATCAATGACACGGCGCCGTGGGGAACACATCAGAATGTGACTGCTGAAGAAACACCACGCCTTGGGAGTAACGCGCTGACGGGCTCCCAGCGGCAGCGTCTCATGGATACTCTTTTCCCCTCCCGATCCTTCACCCCCCCCTTGTTTCCCCATTCCCCGACACCCTCGCGCCGTGAAGCGGCCACGACCGCAGCGTTCTTGCCCCGTGTTCGGCCCGTGGTGACCTTCCCCGGGCTCCGGAGCCGTCTAAAAGAGCGACTCGGGACGGAAGGCGGGTCCCCAGAGAGGGGGTCCAGACCTCCAGGGAGCCACGCTGGGAAAAAGTACAGCGTCGGCATCCAGGCCCCGCTGCCCCTCAACCACCACTCACGCATTCACGCCAGGAGGGCGCGGCAGCTGAAGGCCAGACCAGGAAGAAGGAAAGGGAGGCGGGAGGAAAGGGAGCGGAGCGAGCGCTCCTCCTCCTTCCTCCTCCTTCCCCGCCCCTCCCTCCCTCATCCTTCCCCTCCCTCTCCCTCCGAGGCTCCTCCCTTCGAGTCTCTCCTTCCCCGAGTTCACATGAAGGATACTGGTCCTGAGGGAAACTGGACCCCAGGGATTCCCTCAGGACCTGCTCTTTATCCTGACCATGCTTTGAAGGCACCAAAGACCAGGGAAGGCCCCAAGAGCCTGAGAACGGCGAAAAGCCTCAGGACCCGCTTCCCTCAAGGCACCTTTCCTTCATGGATCATCCGGTTTTCTGGCAATAACCTGGGCCTCTTGAGACAATCTGGCATCCCCCAGAAGCTCCCGGCGAGGCGCAGCTGCTGGAACGTACCCCGAGGCTGGAAAACCGCCGAGAGCCAACGAGAACGCCCGAAAACCTCGATCCCAAACACTGAACGATGTAATTTGTTCAATGCGCGGCCCCGAAGAGGCCGGCCTTTTTCTCAGGGGGGTGCTTTTTCATTCCGAATCTGTGTTTGATGGCCCTGGTGCTCGATAACGGACCCCCAAGGCCGAAATCGAGAAGAGGCATCTGCATTGAAAAAAAACATGTTTGGCGGGGGGGGAGGGAGGCAAAAAAGGTACCGATACCAGGGCTGAACCTAAACGGTGCTTTTCGTTTTCGTTGTGTTTTCGTTTTCCCTCGCTTGTGTCTCGAATCCGCCTTTACCGCAAAACGAAGTCGAAACGAAAACGGCCCACGAAATCACCAAAAACACCGTTTAGGTCC